AACATGTGCAGACAAAAACGCGAAATTCCTCATGGCTTCGAGAGCTTGGGCGTGGTTTCGCGCCAATGCAGCACCGCTGGGCGTTGGAACGGGCGTTGTCGGCGTCTTCGCCTGCTATGTGTGGAATGCCACGGAGACCCACCGGATGGCGCGCCAAATCCGCAGAGGATGCTTCCAACCAAAGGCTCCTGCGGACTACGACCACCGGTTTTGCCCGCTCGACAGGTACATGATGGAGAAAGCTAAGATGGTCGGCCTTGTTGGGCTGAAATCCACAGGGAAGTCCAGCACTCTCGCACTTCCTGAGAGAGAAGCCAAATCCCTTCTACCTGGAGCTCACGGATGGCAACCTCTACGACGCAATGTATGACAAGATGAAACATTCAGTCCTTCGTCGCCCCTTCTTCGCAGACCATCTTCGGTGGGATGCTGGGAAGAACAGCAAGACGATCGTCATCGAAGTCTTCGAGTTGGTGCAGGAGCAGACAGGCTCGCCGGTGCAGGTGGGGGTGGATGTGGTGTTGAACCCCTCGACATTGCCTGTAGAGGGGGCAGACAAAGCAGTGAAGACTGTGCAGGGTGTGCTGTTGGGAACGGCAAGCTCAGTCCCATTTTTCAGCTCAATCAACATCATCAAGCTCGTCAAGGATGTGAAGTGGCTTTGCGCTGATGCGAGGGTGGCTTCGGTAGTCATAGCATCCAGCGAGGGCTTGGAGCTTCTGAGTGTGAATGAGCCAAGGCTTGTGAAGCTGATGGCAAAGGAAATGCCACTCGAAAAAGCCAAGGAGTACCTCCAGCACATCCATGCCAAGGGCTACACGGAAGAGATGCTCAAGAACATCCCACGAACCTTCGAGAGCCTTCAACAGTTCAAGATAGCAGAGGACAAGGAGGACTTTTGCCAGAGGGAGATGGAGGTGTGGAAGGAGCGAGTAAAGGAATCCAAAGGGCACTGCTCCCAAGAAGGCAAGGATGGAGGTCTGACAGCCGCCAAAGTCTTCTACAGCAAAGCGCTTGGCGGAGACGTCGACTATGACGACATTTGCCAGCACTGCAAAGACAAGCAGAACTTCATAGCGAATTTCGTGAAACCCAACCTCTTTACCCACACAGCAGGTGCGAAGTACAAGTTCCAATTCGATTGTGTAGCCGAGGCAGCAAAGATTGTGTTCGGCCCGTGAATGCCCATTGTCCATTTGAAGGTGGCAACCATTCAATGCCACTGCAAGTTTGAACAGGTCATGAAGAGTACAGAGGGAGAACCGTGCATGTGAAGAGCAGAGAGATACGAAAGTGTTGCATCAGCATCAGAGCACACGATGACTTTGTCTAGGAGCAATATATGAACAATGCTGTAGTGCAGAAGTTGCAATCTTCTCATCTGTTTCTGCCTTCCATCATGCCACCCACCTGTTGAAGCGCTTGCGCTGAGGTATAGGGTTTAGGTGCGTGGGTTGTTAATTATAGCTTGTTACAAGTGGAGGTATCCTTACCTTGGTTCGGGTTATGCTGGCGCACAACCTTAAAATCCCCAATCCCTGAACACAAAACCCTAAACCCTAAGCCCTGAACCCTAAACCCCAAAACCCTAAACCCTAAGCCCCAAACCCCTAAACCCTAAGCCCTAAACCCCTAAAGCCCTAAACCCCTGAAGGCTTGATTTAGGAGGTCTGGGGCCTCGAGTTCGGGCTTCGGGTGTAGGGGTTCCTTCAAAGGGATCTAACGGGTTCACTTAAAGGGATTTATAGGGTTCCTTGAAAGCGATCTATAGGGTTCTATATTTAGGGTTGGGGCCCTAGGTTCTAGGCGGCAATACGGTTTAGGGTTTAAGGTTTTGGGCTTTGGGGTTTAGGGTTTGGGGGTTTAGGGGTTTGGGGTTTAGGTTTTAGGGTTTTGGGTTTTAGGGTTTAGGGTCTTAGTTTAGAGTTTTAGGGTGAATATAGCGGCCTTGATAATTTCCTTTGAGGGATCCTTTAAAGGGGTTACTACAAGGGGTACTATAAGAGTTTAATGTAGGGGCCTTAACAATTAGAATAGGGTCTTGGCGCCCATTATACTATGATTGGACTAAGGAACCCCCTAAATAGTATTGGTAATTATTCAGACCCCTACGTCGTGAAGGCTTTAGGGGTTTAGGGGTCTTGGCGTTTGGGATTTAGGGTTCTAGAGGCTTACAGAATCCCTGCAGGCCAGAAAACACCCCCAAACCCTAAGTACTAAACCCAAAGCCTTCAACCTTAAACCCAAAACCCCCAAC